AGGCTAGACGAACGGCAAAAAGTGACAGGTTTAAGGTTTTCTCAGGCAGGAACATAAGAGTGCCCCGCTGTTTTCCCTGGAACAAACTCCACCCTTGGTTGATACTGTGTCAGTGTAAATAAAAAGCCCAACTTTTTTCCAAAATAAAGAAGTCAACAGAATTAAATATTAGCCAACCTAAAAGTAAAGGCCTGCATCATCCCCAGAAACATAACTAGAGAGACAGACAACTTGGTGTCTGTTGGATACCCGAGTTCCTTCCAAATGGGGAAAAAAAACGCTACGTGGTTCTCGTAATGCAAAACACACACTCGTCTTCAGATGTGGGAATACACCAGAGAATAATTTCCACTCAGAGCAATGAATGACAGCATAACATAGAGTACCTTTAAACAAATACTGCAGTTGCCTCTTACGTACAGGGTTTCCAGGAAGAGAAAACATCTGTAGAATATTAACTGACCCAAGGAACGTTTAACGGGCATTTGTCAAAAATTTTATGCCAGAAACACGTTCAGAATTTAAGTTGGTAGAGTTGGGTCAGAATTACGGTATGTGCTTACATGCACACATAGGTACACCCATATATACACACACACGTGTATACCACGCTTTCATAAAATCCACGCCCTGTTCTGATGCGAGACATCAGCACAAGCCGCTGCTTCTCTCCCTCTCCAGTGCCACCTCCCCTCACCGGCTATTTTGCACTCCTGCTGGCAACTTCAAAACTTCTGTTACCAAACCGGGAGGTGAGAAGGGCACCAGGACTGGACCGGTACGGGTCACTACGTAGTTGTTTCAACAAAAGCGGGTATCGTGGTTATCGCTTCCAGTCCAAATGCATAATAAAATCCAAGTTAGTTATTCGCCAAGTGAACCTAAGAGTTCTGCACCTCCGCTTGCTTGCCTGCGTTTAGTTTTGCATGCACAGACATCTCCATTACCTGCAGAAGAATACACGAATGCAGAGCTATGCAAATGTTTGAGAGCCAAAGCCAGAGCCAAAGTTAGCACGCTGGCCATATTTTCACTGGTTTTGGTTTTAAGTCAGAGCCATAACAGATAGTTTTAAGGGTCCTCACTTTAATGGAACTCAAAATGGAAAGAAGCAGGGAACAAAAGGAGCACTACTGAAAAAAACTTCCTGAAGGGAAACAGTCTGTTCCTCTATACAAGATGCAGCAGATGCCAAAGAAATAATCAAGAGCTGCTAAAGCTGTAGTGGGATGAATACTTCAAGCTAGCATGAATAAATGAAATAAAACAAACCAACCAAACCCAAACCAGTGCTTTCTTCATTCTGCCTTAGCTGTTTTTATTCCTCATTTTCACACCATTCTCTCTTTTGTGCCAGAATATCTGTGTATGCAGCTACACAGTGATCCAGCAGCTTATCCCGCTGGAAACTAACTTTTCTTTTTGGCAATGTCTGAGGAATTGATCTGGGTTAGACTGCTTCTTGGGCAGCAGAAGTAGCTTATGATGTTTGTGAAACATCCCAGATACTCTCAAATTAAAAGGCCCAGCAAAAAAAAAAAAAAGGATACCTGGTGCCATTAAAGACAGAGATTTATCTCCTAACGGCCAGGTCTCGTCCTCTTCGCACACAGCGTCTGCCCCATGGTCCTCAACGCCATTTCTCCTGGGGATTTGTTTGCAAAGGGTTGATGAGAAGTCCCGTGCTAGCACATTTGCACGGTTTATATAGAAATATTCCTCACTACATTTAAATAATGTCCTGCTTCTGAGCCATTAGGGAGCACAAAGATCTAGCATATATAATGAAAGATGGTCATGCCAGCAACCAGAGTTGCCTCCTCCTGGAAACACCTAAATAGACAACCAAATTGCCATGTGAGTTCACTTCCTTACAAGGTAAAACACAAGTCCAGTAAAATTCAGTAGGATGACTCCTGTACTTGTTTTTGTGGGACTCCTGGTCACCCTACAACCCTTCCACATTAAGTAGATGAGCATATTCCTCAAAGGGTCTATAATGGAGGTCATCCAGGGTATTGAGCAGAAGTTTTCCTCCATTTCCTTCACTGAAGCATGACATGCTGATGAATTATAACACTGTGGCATGGGTTTAATGGTATCTTCTGCCACCTTAATGGAGGATCAGAGATGCTATTTTTAACACAATGTGTCAGACCATTACAATCTCTTCCCTGATTCTGAATACAGCACAAGGTTAAATAAACCGTGATAATATATTGCTACATGCTTAACACAACACTTCCCTGAAAGCTATGAAGGGCAGAGATGGTCCATCGAGAGGTAATCACAGCGAAACACACACTTATCATGTAATCCAACATCACATGCATCATGATTACAGAAGTCTTTTAAAAGAAAGAACAAATCAGAAGAGCAAATTGGATGTAATTTTAACTATCGAATAAACAGAATCTTGAAATAGTTTATTTATATCCTGAAGTAGGAAAAAAGCAAGATGAAGATTAGTACTGGCAGATTAGTGCACCGTTGCAACAGTATCCCAAATCTAATCCATAGTGGCAGTACCGTGAGAGCTGCCATCACACACCACCTCCTCTACATACCTGGATTACCAACAGCCATGACAGAGATAACAGTGGCATCACTATTTTGTTGTGGTCTTTGAAACAATTACTTCAGCTTTATTAATTTTTAATAGCAGCTGTATTTATAGTACAGCCAGGAAGACCGATAACTGCTATTTTATAGAAGTATACTATAACATATTGGTTAACAGAAAAACCAGGAAAGATACTTCAATCACAGTTCTGTTCTACTAATTCCTGTTGTAACGAGACGTGCATCCCCCCGAGTAGGGCCCGTTCGAAACTCCATAGCCAGACCTACAGAAGCCACAGGGGTAACAACAGAGAACAGGCAGCTGTCCTGCCACTGCTGTGCCTATCATTAATGGGTGTGCACAGTACACTGGGGACTGTTGATGTGAACGGGAAAGGACCTTACTGTCTGCCTGTAAACCCATCCTTTGGAAGAAATATGCAGAAAAGAGGCTCTTTGACAGAATGGCAGAAATCCTGATGAGGAGTGATACCGCCATTCTGGTTTAATTTTGGACGGGTGGAGCAGCCAAAGGAGTATCCTGAAATGAGCACAGGGACTAAAATCCTAAAAGGCGTTGTTGCTATTCCCAATTCACCGCGGGCGAAACGACTGACAGAAGGGTGTGAGGCTGGGATGGTGGATGGGAATTCTCTTGACGGGCTGTACTGCCAGCTCAGCCTCATTGCGGAGGGGTGGAGCAGCCAGCTTCTGCCTCCACGGTGCCTGCAAATCCCTGCAGGACCATTTATTCAGTCTTTGTTCTCTAATGAGTGGATGCCATAATTTGTAGTAAAACTTTTCCTCAGTGCGTAGACCAGACTCCTCTTTCTGGGGCCCAAACTGTTTCCTAAGACTGTAAATTACTCCCTTCCTTTATATATATTGATTTGTTAACTTTTACAAATTGTGCTCATGTTCCCCAGTGAGCATTTTCTTCTAGACTCTTTAATTATCAAATGAGTCCATGGAGGGGTTCCAGAGTATTATCCTGAAGGGCATACACCGCGTAAAACCCACCAGGAGTGGAAAATGCTGCCCAACAGATTATTCTGGGAAATGGAAGAAAAATAATCTCAAAATTCTGGACACAGTTAGGAGCTTGGCAACTGCACGAGCTGCTCTGCTCCCAAATGTTCAGTAAAGAAAATGATGAGAGTATGAAAGCCCATGCATGACACAGAAGTTCCCTGCAAACTTTAACTCTTTAACATATGCAGCAGTGGTTATGAGCAGTTACTTCAAAGCAATCAAGTAAAGTGATCGAATGTATTAAAAGATTCAGACGAAAATGCGAACAGGCACACAGGTTATTAAGCCTACAAAAAGGTCTGTTTTTTTCTGGACAGTCAGGACATCCCACAGATAATTCTTCAAAATGAACCTGGATATTGTTGGTACTCACAATGTTAATACCATGACGTTAAATGGCAATGACTGGCTATTGTTATTACCAGGTTCTCTTACCCTTGCTTTTGATCTCCTAGCTTTCCTTGACGGGTGTCTGAATGGAGCTATGCTCCACTCTCCCGCATTATTAATGTTTTAAACCAGTTTCTCATGCACCTTTTTAATAACTCCCTCCAAATTCTCTTTTTTTTTTCACCTGCATTCACCACGAACCGCATTTAAAGCCCCTACTGTGATCCTCCAAGCCCACCCTGGGACCATCCTCCCCTGGAGTCTGTGCTTTGATTCCACAATAACGGTCTTCACACAAATCTCTCCTTTATTATTTTCTTAAACCACTAAGCACTGTTGGGACTAACTATCTTTATCTCAATGACTTTATCTCGATTTCAACACTCCTTTCTACAGCTGTTCTTCTTTCACATTACACAGGAATCTGTGCAGAGCTCTGTATCCTATTGTCTGCTTCCCAGTAAAGCAATTCAGTCAGTCATTCGGGAACTCTTCCTGTTTCACATTAGTACGAACCCAGAACTTCCAACTGCTTCACGAACGATAAAAAAAGAAAACCCTACCCTCTCCCCATAGACATCCTCATGCAAGTTCATTAAAAAAAAAAAAAAAAAGATGCTGGCACCTGAGACCCACCGGCACGGACCTATGCTCTGTACTCTCCTGCACCTCACGGGAACACAGTGACAGAAATAGTAATTTCTGGTCCTTAGTCTCTCTCACTACCTCTGAGCACAAATTCCACTTTGGTCCTAACCTTCCCCACCCAACCTTTCCTACCTGGAAATGAAGTGGTGTTTCCCACAGGATATTCTAGTTTGTGCGAACTGATGATGTTTGTGGATAAAGGACAGACAAAAGACAGACACGCACGTGGGTCTTGCCCAAAGACTCCCCAGTTCCATGCAGCCACACAACTGCCTTGTCCGACTCCACATAATTTTCTTTCTTTTTTTTTTTTTAGGGCGTGTAAACTGCGGCTTTTGGGGGGGAAATCCGCTAACGACCCAACTCACGTTTTCGTGCTTCATGTGTTTCAGGAGGCGCAGCTCTCGGTAGGCTCGTTTGGCAAAGAGTTCAGACTGAAACGGGCGGTACAGTTTCTTAATGGCCACTTTGGTACCACTTCTTCCATCGACGGCTGAGCTTTAAGGGAAAAGGAAGAGTTTGGTGAGCCAGGGCTGACGCAAGACTGCGAACCCCGACGGCGCTGGAGAGCGGCCGCATCCTGCCCTGCGCTGCCCAGCCATCAACCTGCCGGGGGCCTGCCAAGGGGGGGCA